TTAAATCCAAAATGAAAATCTCATTAAATCCGATACACCACGCCGCACTTGCAAAGCGATGGGCGGAGCGTCGGTGGGGGGAGGCGGGAATCAAAGTACGCAAACACCGAGTCTCACTTTTTTTATTCCGACAATATGTCTTATTTACTGTCAAAGATATAAAAAAGTCCACTGAAAAATTGTTTATCATAATATCGCAAACATTTTATCAATTGACAAATTCTCGATTTCTTTTACAAGAATTGAGATAAATTAGCCTAAAGTTAACAGTGCCAGGTCACTTCTGGGCCCAAGTTAACTTTAACTCGATTTTTCTCAGTTCCAATAGTAGATAGAAAAAATGTGTTAACTGATGAATTGTTTATCATAAAATTTCAAACATTTTATCAGTTGACACATTTTCAATATCTTTCACAGGAATTTAGATAACTGAGCTCAATGTTTATCTCTCTCTCTCTCTCTCTCTCTCTCTCTCTCTCTCTCTCTCTCTCTCTCTCTCTCTCTCTCTCTCTCTTTCGTCTGTCTGTGTTGTTTCGTTTCCTCCGCAGTTGGAAAAACGCGAAAATACTTTTCCAACGATATTTATCTTTTTTTAGCTTTCCTATTTTCCTCCCCTTTCAAATATGTATTCATTTCAGGAATAGTTTTCAGCTACTTGGACAATGGAGCAGTCTCCAATTTATTATGAAAGTAAAACGGCAACTTTCACCGGCTCCGATTTACAATTAGACGTCTCCGACACAAATGGGATCAAATGGTAAGTGAATTTTTCTATTGATCACTCAGATTGCCAAAAAAAACTTATAGTACCTGGAGTGGAAACGTGGCAGGTCATCAAAAGCAATACTCCTGGAATTTTGATTGGAGAGACTTACACAGTCAAGGAGTTGACCGTCTCACGGGATATATTATAATCAAGGAGAGAAACAACTTATTTTCTCCACAAAAAATGGAAGTTGACTGGACAATCGTTGACCAAAACAATAAGAGAACCATAACGGTTTCCCCTGCCTCACAATATACAATCAGCTTCGAATATTCGTTGACTCCTCATTACGCAACACAAAGTTTGTATGACGCAATTTTCTCTCCACCCGATACAGTTCTCGTGGTCGAGGGAAAGGAGATTCATGTTAATAAAGCGGTAAGAAAAAAATTATTTATAATTAACTCCTCATTAAAATTTTCAGTTCTTCTCCATGCGTTCCGACTATTTCAAAGTCCTGTTCTCCAATAATTTCAAGGAAGGAAGCTTATTAGAAATCAAAGAGGTCTCATACGACGACTTCAAACTTCTTTGCAACAGTTTCTCAGATCCTCAATTTCCGGATCCTCAATTTACAAATGGTATTTCACGAACTTCTAAGTTATGAATATGAATGTCTTAATTTTCTCAGATGGAACCGTTGAGAAGCTTTTGAAATTGGCTCGCCAATTCCTATTGCCATCTGTAACAGAAACTGTTGAACACCATCTGCTTCACTTTTCAAAAATTGGTTTTCTAAAAATGATCTGGTTGGCTGATGAGTTTAAAATGTCGAAGCTTCTGGAAAAGTGTATCCGTGAGCTCGACTCATTGGAGAAGGTTAAGAAATTGAAGGAATTGCCAGAATTCGAGAAGCTCTCCGATGAAACCAAACTGCTGATTCTTGGACGTATCATGAAATTCCTGTAGATTGTTTTCTTCTTGATTTCCACTTTTTTTTTTGAATTTTTTTGTCGATTTTAAAATTGTTTATTTACTGTGATAGAAGGAACACCTAGTTTTTAACTTTGATTTTATTTATCTCGTTTCCTGTGAAAGATATGAAAAAGTTGTCAGCTGATCAAATGTTTATCATAATATTATAAATATTTTATTAGTTGACAACTTGTTGATATCTTTCTTAGGAACCGAGAAACTTGAGACAATGAGGGGGCCCCTCTATTGCAGGTTTTCTGGTTTATTTCCTCTTTTATTTTCTTTTTTGAGCTTCAGTTTTGGCAAATTCGTTGTTTGTGTTTAAAAGGTAAATAAACATTCTCGGTTTTTTATTAAATTTAAAGTTTAACATTCCAATCAGATTTCAGAATCCCTCGATTCTTGCAATCGTTTATTTTTCAAATGACCCGCCATCTGCCGCTTGGCACCTTGCCAACAGTTCACTCCCTTTTCGTAAGCCGTCTCTTCACGTCTCATACTATCTCCCTACCCTAAAAATGACCGATGTATGCAACATACAAGAAAAAAGAAGAAGGGTGACTGTCCTCCCTCCCACTGCTTGATGCAACATGTAATACGACGGATTCATATCTTTCTTTTCTATTTTTTCTATTTACTCTTTTGAATGAATGGGTTTGGAGGAAATTTCTCAATCTCAGTATCTCAGGAAATCAGAATTTCAGAAATTCAAAATCTCAGAATCTCAAAACCTCAGTTTTTCTTTTTTCCCACGATGGTGTTCTTATCACCTATTCTAATCGAATCTCTTTTACTTAGTTAGTTTCGTCAGTTGTCCTTTTTCCTTCTTTTCCCCTTTTCTCTTCTCCTTTAAGAAAAAAAAAGGATATTTTATATCAAGGAGAAGAGAAAAGGGGAAAAGAAGGAAAAAGGACAACTGACGAAACTAACTAAGTAAAAGAGATTCGATTAGAATAGGTGATAAGAACACCATCGTGGGAAAAAAGAAAAACTGAGGTTTTGAGATTCTGAGATTTTGAATTTCTGAAATTCTGATTTCCTGAGATACTGAGATTGAGAAATTTCCTCCAAACCCATTCATTCAAAAGAGTAAATAGAAAAAATAGAAAAGAAAGATATGAATCCGTCGTATTACATGTTGCATCGAAGCAGTGGGAGGGAGGACAGTCACCCTTCTTCTTTTTTCTTGTATGTTGCATACATCGGTCATTTTTAGGGTAGGGAGATAGTATGAGACGTGAAGAGACGGC